TCTAATCCTCTGATCATCTTGTATGTCTCTATCAAGTCACCTCTTAACCTTCTTCTCTCTAACGAAAACAGCCTCAAGACCCTCAGCCTTTCCTCATAAGACCTTCCCTCCATACCAGGCAACATCCTGGAAAATCTCCTCTGCACCCTTTCCAATGCTTCCACATCCTTCCAAAATGCGGTGACCAGAACTGTACGCAATACTCCAAGTGCGGCCGCACCAGAGTTTTGTACAGCTGCAACATGACCTCATGGCTCCGAAACTCAATCCCTCTACCAATAAAACCTAACATACTGTACGCCTTCTTAACAACGCTATCAACCTGGGTGGCAACTTTCAGTGATCTATGCACATGGACACCGAGGAACAGGCTGAATATCTGAGCACTGTGGCAGCCAGCAATCTCCTTCAATTTCACTTGTGGTGGAAGACCGAGGCTTAAGCATAGAGTGATTCCAAAGTGTCAACGTTGTTTGAATATGTATTAACTCCAACACGTATAGATAAGAATATAACATGAAGCGAAATAAGAGAAATCCTTTCTCCCCAGACAGCACATTCAATCAGGGCCCATCTATGATTATTCCACCATGAATGTCTTTCGCATGTTAACTGCTGATTCCCCAAATTAAGGAGCATTTTTTTCCTCAAGCTCCTCTGAAAAAGCAACTACTGCTGTAAATATTTCCAGCCCCTTCATTTCTCAACAGTAGTTGATCCAGCTCCTTTATGAAAATGAAACAAGAATATCAGATGTGGGAAATACACAAATCCATCAGCATTGATAAAGGAAAAAGGTGGTTAAACTTTCAAACATTGTCCTCTCTTTACAGATGTGCACAGATTCCCTAAGTATTCTGTTTGTTTCAGATTCCCAATGTTTTTAGAATTTTTTTAACTTTTCCCTTTTTAAACATGACAAATGTTCCCAAACGAATGATCCTTTTTGAGTGTTGATGAACATGTCCAATATGTCCAATCTCTAATCTTGTTCAAGTTACGAGCAGCCAAATATTTGTAGTATAAAGCGCCTTTTAAGAGATCATGATTTCTTCCAAAATTTAGTTGAAGAAGATTCCTTTTGGGTTTAGTCAACTCATAATGAAATTGGATATAAAAATCTCTCTATTTTGTAATATATCATGGTGTAATTAAAGCGAGTTACTATCAAATGTCCTAATTATCATGGGTGTTGGGATTACTGCAAAATGGTGAATCATGTAAATGTACAAATTAAGAGCCGACGTAAGTTATTCAGCTCATCAACCCTGCTTTTTCATTTAAAAAGAACAAGCTAATCTGATTGTGACCAGACCTCCACATCCCCTCCTTTCCCTAACTACCATTGAAACCCCTGACATAGTTCACAGGGACAAAAATGTTGTAAACTGCAGATAAGTGGTCACCAACCCTTGAATATCCAAAGTGCTCTTGTTGTGATTTTCAGCCAGGTTTATTCAATGATGTTCAGAACTGCTGCCCAAGAGAGACGTGAGAATCAACATTTAGTCAGCATTTATTGCCCTTCCCTAAGTGCCCTAAAGAAGGTGGTGGTGAGCCACCCTCTGGAACTGCTGCAGGTCCATATTGAAATTAAATCAGATCCTGCAGCAATTGTAGAAGCCCATTTGGAATTTTCCAATAAAAATAAACAGATCATGCAAACATTTCACTCATTTGTACCTGGATGGATTCCATCTAACCAGTGTTGACTGCTCAAAACATCTTCATTAACACCTGGAATATATTTTTGGACTTCTCCTAGCCTCACAAAACTACAAAAGGCCTGTTACTATCACCCCTGGATGATGACACCATTACCCCACAACTTCATCCCCACACACACAGACACACCTACCTTCCTTTCGCTCCCAATTTCTGAATCAGTTTGCTCACAGAGCAACTTCCTGATGTAGCAGGTGGCTCACTATCTCTCTCTCTCTCTGAGCACTTAGCTTGTCAGCAATACTCTGCTCCGGCCTGAGTTGTGAGAAATGTTAAGATCTCCCACAGCTTGCAAACTCACTAGTGCACTGCTGTCCGTGTGCCCCTTTTGAAGAAATCTCAAACTCATCTCCAATACTTCTATGGTGTGTAAAACAGTGGCAGATGGAACACTATATTCAGAGGGAACAGTCAGATGTAAACTTCACTGTTTCTTTCTTCCTGCAGGTGTAACGATCAAGAGGAGAGTTCAGTCTTGCCCCTCCTTAATGCAGGTTTCAACAGGGTATAAAACTCTACCTTATTTGTTTACCATCATTCACTTCATAGTTGCAGCTGTTTGACTGTTTATTCTTTGCTATAACTGCACGCAGAATTGTTGAGCGTGTTGAAGAATCTACAAAATGCAACTCTAACCCTCCCCTTTCTTTATCCATCTGCGTCTGTATGCTTTTCACAGCAGTCCGGCCATATATTGCTTGTTCAATATATATTCACGTATAAAGGCACAAAATGCATAAACATTGGTCTTCACATGAACACTAGAGTTGGAGAATGTAGCCAAGCGTAATGCAAATGATTACAATTTGACATTTTTGAAATGTTGCCACACTTCAAAACTGCAAAAAATGCTTAATTTATTGCTTTTTGCAATTTTCTTTTTAAAGCCTTCTGACATTGATTATTCCATTAAATAATCTCAGCTTGATGATGTCAGGGAAAGTAGGTATTTGAAACTGTTTTTGTATATGTAAACTACAGAATCACTCCTTACTGAGACATGAGTTTAAATTCAAGAATAATGCCAGTCAGTCATGAAATCTCAACACATTTCATTCATTTTTTCGTTGTAAAAGATTTAGAGTTAGAGATGGTGCTCTGTGCAGAGTCCTAGTTTACATTATTGTAATTTTAACCCAAATTGTCCACATAGTTGCGATCTGAGGCACAATCCTACCACTAATGAAGTGAAAATCTACAGATTCTTTCCCCATCACTAGCACTGTCCCACCAATCCTTGTTAGCCACCTGAATCCAGCAAATGGCACAAACCATTCATCATTACTATAGGCGACAGTTACAAAACTCTTCACATCACTTTAAAGTTCAATTTCTTTGCTAGCGTGTGGCTAAATCTTCAGCCTCGGGTCATGGAACAGGGAACAGGAGCTGGAACTGTTTCCAGGTACTCCCACGGTGCAATAGTCATCCTTTGGGAGATTGAGAGGGACCTCACCCCTCATTGATTGTCATGGAGACGTTTCCTTACCAATTAAGGCGACGAGGAGGGCTCGTGAAGCTCAGAGAGCCAATGGCTGCAGTAAAGGGACATGAAGGCACCCTCTCATCACCATTGTTAAAAATGAAAGTGAAAAATAATAGAAGTAGCCAAATAGCCATCGGGTTGGGGTATGTTGGACTGGCAGTGTGGGAAGGTAGAATCCCTCTATAGGACGGCCTTTGGCTTCATCTGCACTGACGGAGGCAGTGTGGGTCTGAAGGCCTGCCTCGTGTCTACCCTTTGAATATTGGAACCTGTTGCATCAGGAATTGGAGGCCGTCTGCAAATCCCACTCTTCCTCCTTTAGTCAATGTTAACAGGGTCTGAGTGTGTCGGCCCCACATTTACTTCCTGCCCAAAATGATTGGTACCAAAAACAGTGTCGGGAATCAGTGGCCCACTGGCTGAAGGCGGTATTTCTGGGTCCTGTTGTCCTCCATTCCTAACCACTGAAGGGTGCAAAAGTCCAGTTCCTGTTGTTACACAAATACCAATATTTGCTTAAAATTTCTTACTAACATTAACTTTGGAATTCTTATGCTCTGTGCCTAGTTTTCTTTAAAAAATATTGTTTCTGTTTGACTAGAAAACCTTGGAGAAACTCATCAGTATTTGTGCAGAGAGAAACAGAGTTAACATTTTGAATTCAATATGACTTCTTCAGACCTACTGAGTTTCTCCAGCATTTTATTTCAGTCTTTTTTTTTAATTTCAGATTGTCAGCATCTGCAATATTTGCTTGTATTCTCCTTTGTCAATACTTCATCTGGGACTTGTCTATTGATCAGGGTAGAGGATGCACTACCATTCAACCTATACAGTAGAGGCAGTGTTCCTAGACCACAAGATGGTTTATTGCTTGAAAACAATAAGTACAGCTACATTACAAGGCAGGCATAATTACTGGGACTCTGAGGAGCTGTACAAACTACATTAACTCCCTAAGAAGGCTTGTGTAGAATTATCTGCTCACCCATAATCTATGTGTGACATCACCAGAAGGGGTAGAGCTCAATATAATAATAACATTTAGAACCATTACCTTTCACAACATCTTCCCCAAATTCTTTTCTCCCTGTAGTTAACCCATTACATTATCATATATAATATACAGTAAATCCTCGGTATCTGTAAAATCACAAATTGCAAATTCACCTATCTGGGCCAAAAAAAAAGTATTAATAAAATTCAGCATCTCGCAGGCAAAACTCACATTTGCGATTTTTAACTGTTTTTAACTTATTTTTAATCAAGTTTCACACTCGCGAATTTCATTGTTCACGGGGGTTTCTCGGGAACGAAGCCCTAATGGATACAGAGGAATGACTGTATATATACATACTATATTATTCTTACCACTACCGCCGAGTCTCTGACTTAGCAAAAGTGTGGGCCTGGGTGGTTCACAGTTTTTCCACAATGCGCTCTCTT